ATTTTATGTGGTCAAACTTATTCATCGAGGTTTTTCGAGGTGTTCTAACGTGGTCTTTATCAGAAGATAAATCTGTAGATAAATTGGATAATGGTCTGTCGTATTGTTGTTGATGACTGCAGAATACAGGTTTAAATTAGCTCAACTAAATAGAGAAAGTAAAAATCGTTCTCAAAAACCTAATGATGTGATGTATCACTGAAGTCGTAATAAAATTCTCTATTCAACAAGGGCATAATCAAATATGGTAACAGGTAAAAAAAACTCGTTTGTGTCATATGTCAAAAATGTCAGATAATTTGTAGAAATGTCACATGTCTTTTCTTTGGCATGAAATTTTCTAGAATGTTTGCCTGTCAGATTAATATTGACGGAACTAGGAGTCATTTAAGAATCTGTCATAAATCAGTTTTTCCACATATCTCCTGACAGCTGTCAAATTTTTGAAAAATAAAATTAGTTTCGAGTAGTGCATTGAAAACTACAATTCGTTGTCCATTTATCCTTTGTTGTATCTCCTGTAGTTTCAAGCTAACTGCACTAGTCACCCTGTATAATAGGTAACTCTGCTGATCAAAAACTGTCGTTTTGTCGAAATGCATAATAGATGGCTGCTAAAGCTCGATGGTTGTTTTCTGAACATACAAATTCTCTCACGCATTTAGCATTGTCATGTCAAAGACATCAGGATGGTGGGAATTCGGGCGTGATGAAGAACAACAAACTATTATGCTGCGCAGAATAGACATTCTATTCCGGCATAATGGCAGTTTGAGCTATTGAACATTCATAAGATTCATCACTTTGATGGTTGAAAAAACGATACAAATAAAGTTTTGGCGAATTGGCAGTTACATGTCAAGAATAGCCGTTTAAAGCCCGTGTTCCATGCATCCGTTTATACGATGGTACGATGATACGAAAGTGTTTCTATTGGTTGGAGATCTGTCAGTTCGTCCGACGGCGGACGAATTGACAGATCTCCAACCAATAGAAACACTTTCGTATCATCGTACCATCGTATAAACGGATGCATGGGACACGGCTTAAGCCATCTAAATAGACATTTGATCCGTTTTTTTTTTGAGAATATGGCATCCCTTGAATACATACCTACTTACTTTTGCGGCTTAATTGAAAACAGTAGGTAGTTGAAAACTACTAAGAATTAGAAAATAGATTTTCAGTACAAAAAGCGACAGGTCCGATAAAGCAAATAACTTAGGCCATATAAAATCAATGCTATTACCACCATTTTCTAAATCACACCTTTGCATACCTGTAAGGCGGTGCGACTTACCGAAACCTCTAGAATCCTCCAGCCAATCAGCGATATCAATTTGGAAATGAAAGGTGCAACCGAACGATCTAAGGGAAATTCTCGTCCTCCCTTCAATAGGTAATCTGCCGCGCTTCGTGTTACGGGAAGAGCGGTACTTAATTCAAAAAAAAGATCGAATCGCACCCAGATTTTAAAACCACTAGTGAGTTACTGTAGAGTCTAGGGAAACACTAGGAAACTAAATATAGTTTCCAATTTATTGCAATATGAATTGCCAAAGTGAGTTGCAGCTCGCAAATATTGGATAAAGTGGGATCGAATAGGGTGAATTATTATTATCTGATTTTGAAATTCAAATTTTCCGCCATTGTCAACTGAAAATGACGGCGAAATTTGCTTAGTTAAAATTTAATGATCAACTCGAGCCAACCGGCTGTTATTTTAGCAGCTCGCGTGGATTCAAGTTTACTGCTGTTTTATGCTTTTCGAATATTTAGTTCTGTTCAGAGGGAATGTGAATGTTTTACACAAGAAATACACCTTTTGATCACTTTATTGGACAATTCGTTGTCCGACGTTTGCCCTAATGTTGACTTGATTTGCAGATAACTTACTTTGGGTCAAGGGCGCTATGAAAGAGAAGAGCAAAAATGCGGCACGTAGCAGACGAGAAAAGGAAAACGCAGAATTTACCGAATTGGGCAAATTGTTGCCCTTACCGGACGCCATCACTGCGCAATTGGACAAGGCGTCTATTATTCGGCTCACCACGTCCTATTTGAAGATGCGACAAGTATTTCCAGAAGGTACGTGACTTTTTTATGATACTTATGTAATACTTAAACGATGTAAATACTATT